CAACAGGGGAATTTAGTGAGATCCCATCTCACAAAGCTCAGTGGTAGTGTGCTTGCCTGGCATGTATGATGCCTGGGGTTCAATCCTAGCACCACACACACACACTGATACAAAGGCATTTGTGTAATTATTTTAAAATCAAAATGATCATCACTGTTTACTAATTTTCTTATACATTTATTTGGTGGTAACTGAAGATTGTAATTTTCATGCAGTAAATGTATTGTTCATACTTGTAGTTGCAAAAGAATGAAATGGAAACAACCATTTTTAAATCCATGGGCCATTGCAATCATACTGTAGTAGCCTTCAGTTACATATATATAAGCTAGTTAGGAAACAAAACCAGATTTTCTAATTATTATTATTGGCTTTTATAATAGAGTTAGCATATATTCAAACTTATATGCCTACAGCAGAGTCTAGATATGTGACCTAAAAGCCCTGGTTAGACCTAAAAAAAGAAAAACTCCACAGACGAAACATTGTTTGTCAAGGTCCATGGCTTATAAGAATAATTTGTGAATTACTCATTTTGTAAACTAAAGAACTATATAAAGGGAAGGAGCCATTGTGCTTAAAACAAGTTAACTGATAACTCAAGTAAATTTCAGCAAGTCATTTAATATCTCTATAATTTTCTTTCTTTCTTTGAATGTACAGCTTCATCCCTAAAGCTCTTTTTACTGCCTCATTTAATTCTGCTTTTTTATTTCTTTAGCTAGTAGTTTTCTTCCCTGATTACAAGCTGTTTCCAGTAATAAACAAAACTGCTGGTATCTTATCAGTGTGCCTCAATTTTATAAGTCTTGTGTTTGATCATAGTGAGTCAGGTTTAGCCAACTTTCCTATAGCAGCACCCACCACTGAGAGACATAATGTAGTTAGCCTTTATTTGGTGTGTGTGTGTGTGTGTGTGTGTGTGTGTGGTACCAGGGGTCGAACTCAGGCCATTGTACTTGCAAGGCAGGCAGCAGAACTACTGAGCCAAATCCCCAGCTATAGTTAGCTTTTATAACTAAGCCAGCATTTGGTTTTTCAGAACTGAAATCTAAAATAGACGTCTGAATTTGATCTTTCCTGCTGAAGATATTAGTGGTTCTACCTAGCACTATACAGTAGATGTATTGTTGCTGCTTCTACCTCATCCTACTTTGTTTATTCAGTTCTCTAGCCAGCACATTTTAGTTTTTTATATACTAACCTCTCCTATTAGTGCTAGTTTCCCTGGAGGTACAGGTCATTTCTTGGTCATCTTTGATCCCTAATCCTAGAATAGGCAGGGGCACATGATAAATGTTTGAAGAAGTAGCACACTTATTATATTTGCAGGTGATAATGACTAGAAGGGAAAACCTAATGTGCTAGATGTCAGGGAGCAAGCTTCAGTAGATGGGCTGAAGCCAGCAAGATGAAATTTGAGATTATGACAGTGAAGGTCTGTAATTTAAGTCTCAAAGAAATGGCAACATATAGGCAGGCTGCAGGAGACTTAGCATGATTCTATTCTTAAGAAAATGGTGGTTTTGGCTGCCTCAGCTGAATGTCAGCCAAAGGCATTGCAGTGGCTAAAAATCTAATGCATCTCAGACTGAGTGATTGGAAGTACTAAGTACAATGAAAGGAGGTGATAGTCTCACTTCATTGGCATTTTAAAATAAAGATGGGAAACTTTTGTATAAACATATTTTTCATCTCATTTGGGTAAATTCCTAGGAGTGCAATTGCCAGTAAGCATATATTTAGCATTGTAAGAAACTATCAAACTGTGTTGCAAAGGGGTTGTCCTATTTTGTATTCTGATAAGCCCAAGAATGAGAGTTTTGTTATTCTCATCATCACCAGCATTTGGTGGTGTCAGTGTTCTGGACTTTAGCTGTTCTAATAGGATGTAGTGGTATCACGTTGTTGTTTCAGTTTGTAATCCCCTAGTGATACATGGTATTGACTATTTTTATATGTTTATTTGTCATGTAGATGTCTTTTTTGTGACATATTCAGATCTTTTGCTTATATTTTGATTGGGTTGTTTATTGTTGAATTTTATGATTTTCTATATTGTGAATACAAATCCTTCACTAGACATTTTTTTTTTGTACTGGGGATTGAAGTCAGGACCTTGTGCTTGTGGGGCAGTCATCATGCCCCTAAGGTAAATCTCCAGCTCTACTAGACATGTTTTGTAACTATTCTAGTTTGTACCTTATTTTTTCTTTTAACATTATTTTTTGCAGGGCAAAAGTTTTGAATTTTAATCAAGATCGACTTGTGAAATTTTTCATTTATGAATTGTGTTTTTGGTAATGTATCTAAAAATCACTGTCAAATCCAAAGTCGTCTAGATTTTCTCCTGCATTATCTTTTAGACACTTTATAGTCTTGCATTTTACATTTAGGTCTGTGAACCATTTTAAGTTAATTTTGATGAAAAAAATAAATGTTTTGTTTGCTATTGTTTTGGGATAATACTAGTGGACAGTAAGCTCCCTGCTCCTTTATATGTTCCATCAAAGTCTGGAAAAAATTCCATAAGAGGATCTTGCCTGGAGTGGGAAGTTGAGTAGGATTAGATGCTACATTTATTGATCATTTAATTTTAAAACTGTGTGCAAGGCAGAGGACTGTTTCTGGCTGTCATTTACCTCATACAAATTAGAATGAAGGACAGTGTCTGAGATCAAAAGAGCATCTTAAAACTACTTTGAAGCAGTGTTCTTAGAGTACAGCAGATCTCCCTGTTTGTATTATTGAACAAGTCTTTCTTTTTTTTATTGTTACATTTTAGGTATACCATATGCTGACATTCATTATTGGGAATTTGTACCTTTACAACATATATATATATAT